AAAACCAGCAACAACCATAAACATTACAATCTTGGCTGCCAATTTTATGAACAAATGGGATATACTGCAAAGTCTTGTCCCCGAATTCATCAAATGGATTTAAAGCTAATTGCACAACTACTTCCAATGGAAAAGAAAAACCATGGCTTTTGGACTTGGCAGCGTCTCATAATATAACAGGTGATCTTGCCAATCTATCCATTCACTCTGAATATGATGGTACTGATGAAGTAATTCTTGGAGATAGTTCATGTTTGCATGTCTCACATATTGGTTCTTCGAGCTTAAACTCACCTAAACGCACCTTTATCTTAAATGATACCCTTTGTGTTCCAATTCTTTCAAAAAAATTAATTTATATTCACCAAGGAACTAATAAAATAATGCTTTCATTAGATTACATCCGTTTCATTTCCTTGTGAAGGACACGACTACGGAGGCGATTCTACTTCGATGAACATGTGAAGAAGGGGTTTACATTTTTCCGCGTTCAATGGTGTCTCCTTCCTTCAATATGGTTGCTAATGTGCATGAACGGACCTCAATTAAAGGTGGCACAAGTGTTTTGGGCATCCATCTATTGTCCATCATCAAGTTAAAAAAAATTCCCTTCCTATCACTCAAGAAAAAAATGTCTCTGACTTGTATAGTTCATGTTCCATAAATAAAGCACACAAACAACCTTTTCGTTCCAATAGTCTTCAAAGTCATGCACTTCTTGAACTTATTTTACACTGATATTTGGGACCGACACATTATACTGGCATTGAAGAGTCAAGGTATTATTTTATTTTGGTTGACCATTTCACAAAATACATGTAGTTCTATCCGATGGCTACTAAATCTGGGGTAGCCACAATTTTTTCGCACTTTAAAAAAATTGTCGAAACTCGTTTTCAAAACAAAATAAAAAAAACCTGTACTCTAACAATGGTGTTGAATTTATTGCCCTAAAATCATTTTTATTGGCCAGTGGCATTGGTTACTATACTACCGCTCCGCATACCCCGCAACAAAATGGTGTTTCCGAACGTCATCACCGTCATATAGTTGAAACGGGTCTCAATCTTCTCCATGATGCTTCCTTACATTTTTCCTATTGGCCTCATGCTTTTGAAACCGCATGCTACCTAATTAATAGGCAATCCACTTCTCTTCTTCAAAATATATCTCCCTTAGAAGCTCTTTTTGGTACAAAACCAAATTATCTCAAATTGAGAAAATTTGGTTGTCTTTGTTACCCACTCACTCGACCATACAACACTCATAAAATGCATCCCAAATCCTTACCATGCGTGTTCATTGGGTATTCTCAAGTTCAAAGTGCCTATAAATGTCTTCATCTCCAAACTAATAAAGTGTACATTTCCAGGCATGTAATATTTCATGAATCATACAATCCCACCTTGTTCCCTGATTCAAACACCCACACACCTAAATCTCCAAATAATTCTTTATTTTTTGACACACTAGTCACTCGTGTGCCCTTTGTGCTCCAAATAATTCTTTATTTTTAGTAATAGGAACAATCAAAACCAATTATTGTTCACATATTCTCTTCCAAGAAATTGTTCACTTAGGCGATTATCCTATATTTTTTCGGAATATTTCAAGTCATAATTACAGTGAACTTCTCAGCCTAACTGAGTTTATGTTCCGTGGTCTGGAACTAATTGCTTCGGGAAATTGAAGTCCTTCTGGAACTTTCATATAAATACTGAGATCCCCGTAAGATACTTGTTGACCATGCATTTAATAACATTTATCATGAGGGAGTATACCTATTTAAAATCAATCTCAGGTTGCTGAGGAAATACTTGAACTATGAGATGAGTCTTCGAGCTCCCAATCTCATTTTCTCATAAATCATTGTACTATGAGTTGAGTATTCTGGCTCGCAATCTCGTTCGAGCTATGAGATGAGTCTTCTGGCTCCCAATCTCATTTAAGCTATGAGATGAATCTTTTGGTTCCCAATCTCCTTTCTTTCCTTGAGCTATGAGATGAGTCTAGTCTCGTTTGAGCTATGAGATGAATCTTCTCGTTCCCAATCTCATTTCACTCATTGAGTTATGAGATCAGTCTCCTGGCTTTCAATCTCGTTTGAGTTATGAGATGAGTCTCCTGGCTCTCAATCTCGTTTGAGCTATGAGATGAATCTTCTGGTTCCCAAACTCATTTCATTCACTCAGCTATGAGATGAGTCTTCTGGCTCCCAATTCCATTTAAGCTATGAGATGAATCTTCTGGTTCCCAATCTCATTTCATTAATTGAGCTATGAGATGAGTCTCCTGGCTCCCAATCTCGTTTGAGCTATGAGATGAATCTTCTAGTTCCCAATCTCATTTCATTCCTTGAGCTATGAGATGAGCTTAATGTTAGGATAGTAGACTAAAAGTCTCGCTTTTAGCTACATAATTTTATTATTGAATTAATAAAATAGTTTATTATCATTTTATGAGAATCTGCACTAGGGTATTCAATGCATTTAATTGATTGTTTGTCAATTAATTAAAAGCATAAGTCTAATATTCTAATAGTATTCGAGATGGTGTGCTACGGCGCACATAAAGATCATTTCGAAAGTTCATTTAGAATAAAAAAGATAAACGTTCACAATCTAGATGGAAATGGACTAACCATTAGTAAAAGATTGTAGCACAATATATAAGTGATTGGTCTTGATCACAGTAAACAGAGAATAACTTTTGTAGTTATTGTTTTGACTTATTGTGCTAGCACACCCGGCATGTGTTGAACCGGACAAAGTGAAATAATTGTTTCATCACTGTTCATAAATGAAACTGTATTCTTTCTAGTTGATAGTATATTACTTACTCTCTTAATCCCTAGATAATTAACGTACACATTTCCTTGATGATCTCTACTTTGATGTCACAATGAGAGAGATTCCTATATTGATTCAAATGCCCCCCCGGTGCGTTGGGTAGAGACATTAAGAATTAATCATCGAAAGGAATCCACATCTCTGAAATATGGGATTGATAATAACCCTTGAGTAACTTATAAGATTTGTTTATGCCAAGTCCTGGCCAGGTGGATTTCGTATCCGGCATACTCAAATAAGTTAAACGGGTAAGATTCATGAAAAGAAACCATTTAATTTATTTAGCAGTGAATAAATTATTTGGTGGTTATAAGATTTCTTAATGTGTGAAGAATCTAAGTAATGATCGACCGGAGCTTGAATGTAACATTTGAGAATATAAACGGGAGTTCAATAATTATTTGGTAGTGGAAAATAAATAATTATTTAATGATTAATTAAATGAATTCTTTTAAGAGTTTGGATTTAATTAATTATTAGATGCCCGATTTATATTTTCTCCTTTAGTCCCTATTGTAGCCCGTTGGATTTTCTAATTAATCGAGAAAATAAAGTTCAACCAATATTATATATTGGAATTAATATAGCCGAAAATTAAGTCCCCATTGGACTGCAATTTTCGACTATATAGAGTTTTATAGGAGTGGGATTTGTTTCCATGTAATCCTCTCTATGTGTGACTCTAATTCCTTGTGCTATATATAATAGAGATTAGCTTGATGAAAGAGAAGTTTTTTTGGCCACACACTTATTCACGTTCCGGAGATGAGAATAGTTTTCTCTTCTTCTTTTTCTCTAAATTTCTCGATTATAGGTTTAGATTTCTTCAAGTACAAGTCCACCCTGGTAGAAGAATTATTAATCCGGGATATACAATAGAAGACTATAGGTTTTTAAAGCAAACTATTATGGTTATGAATATTTTATTTATGTTTTATGTGAATGGATCCCACTACCTCGTGAGTGGTTACTTTTCGGTTTAATTTCCATCGCCAGATAATAGTTTAAAAAATAAACGGTTAAAACACAATTCATTGTGTTCTCCACCCTCGTAAACCACCATATCATTGTTTTCTGGTTCCATCGTGAATGTTTGGTATGTATTTGATAATTTTGGTGTGTAGGGATTCTTGGTGGGTTTGTGAAGAAGGAGAAGAGGGGGAGATTTTTAAGTCGTGAAATAAGGAATAGAGTTTTCTGGATTTATGAATTTTATTTGGTCTTGCACAAAGAAAATGATTTTTGTTATGAATGCATTCAATATGCATTTAGTGTGGATGTCAAAAACGTAAGAGTTTAAGTGGCTTCATTAATACTTCATGTATTCAATATGCTACTTGAGAACTATAAATAGATGTCATTGTAATGGATCTAAAACACACTTGAATATATAAGAAAGAATAAAAAGAAAAGGTTCCATTATCCTTACATTTGATCTCCCATATTCTTTTTTTACTTGTGTTTCTTTAGTATATTTATAACACGTTATCAGCACGAGTTTGCTCATGTTTTTATTTGAAGTTGGTTTCGGTAATAGACATGCATTTCATGTTTATTGTCACAATTCAATCTCAGTACGAGACATATAGATATATTTCCAACACTTTCTCTCGGCCCTAACTTTTGTTGTTTTTGAAAAATCATATAGCACTACAACTGATTTCATTAATACATGTATATGTATGTGCATTAATATACGTCGTATGTGTATACATGCCTACACTAATAAAATTTGTTTATCCATTTAGCATTTTTTTTTACATATATGCATATATGCTTGTGTATACGTATATATTTGCATGTACTCATAGAATTATTATATTCTTTTTGGCATAATCATTTTATTATCTATTCATGTGTGTATTTTACATGCCTACGGTTTTCTTTTAATGATATCAAACATTTTGATACAATAATTATATTAATTTATTATGCATCAATTAAAATGCTATCTCTTTAATTATTATTTATTTACTTTATTGTTATGCAAATTATCATAAGAACCTGAAGTTCTTTATAGAAAATATTGGCCCGAAGTCTATATCGAATATCAAAGCTTGAAGCTTGAATATATTGAATAAATTAGACTCAAACCTGAAGTTTTGAGTATACATATAATCTAAAGCACTATTAATTTTATGACACAGTGCTATGGCAAACATCACCAAGCTTGAGTTCGCTGCTCTAGATATTTCCAGAAGAAATTATCTAACTTGGATCCTTGATGCTGAGATCCATTTGAATGCGGAAACCATTAAGGATGGTAATGAGGAAAGTGAACAAGATAAGGCGAAATCAATGATTTTTATTCGCCATCGTCTCCACGAGGGCTTAAAATCCGAGTATCTTGGGGTAAAGGACCCTGCTACTCTATGGAATAATTTAAAGGAAAGATATGATCACCAGAAGAGTGTGATACTTCCCAAAGCTCGATATGAATGGATGCACTTGCGTTTGCAAGATTTTAAATCGGTAAATGAGTATAATTCCGCCATGTTTAAAATTGTTTCTCGATTCAGATTATGCGGAGACGATGTCACAGAACAGGACATGTTAGAAAAGACATTTACCACATTTCATGCCTCTAATATGCTCCTGCAGCAGCAATATCGTGAAAGAGGTTTTACCAAACACTCTCAATTGATTTCTTGCCTCCTCGTTGCTGAACAGAACAACGAGCTCTTGATGAAAAATCATAACTCCCACCCAACAGGATCACAAGCATTTCCAGAAGTAAATGCAAATGTTTCATTCCCTGAAGTGAATGCAAACAACTATAATCGTAGGCGGGGTCGTGGCCATGGGCCTGGGTATCGCCGTGGTCATGGTCGACATCAAGATGGTCCAAGAGTTGCACCATACCACCCGAAGTGGAATAAAAATGGTGAAAAACGTGACAAGGGCAAGGCTGTAAATTTGGCCCTCCTAATAATCAAAATGAGAGTTGCCACAGGTGTGGAGTGAAAGGGCACTGGTCACGTGCATGTCGTACTCCAAGGCACCTTGTGGATTTATATCAAGCATCCATCAAGGGAAAAGGAAAAGGAAAAGAAATCAATTTGACTGATTTTAGCAACACCGAGAATGACCATATTGATCCAATGGACCTTACCCATTTGGATGTTGCTGATTTCTTTCCCGCCCCAAGTGGAGAAATTGATGAAATCAAATTTCATGGTGATGATAACAATGATGGCAACAAATAGATCAATCAGGATTGATCAAATATTACATTTATGTTGCATTTGAGTTAAATAATGTTTATCTTTCCATTCCCTAAATGAGTTCGAAATAATTTTGATGTGTGGTTGGTGGTTTGATTGATATAAGAAAACAAATTTTATTATATCTTCTTATATTATTTATTTTATTCCCAAAAAAATGGAATATAATGAGTCCGTGAGCAACCTGAACGATGGAGACATTTGTTTGGTTGACAGTGGAACAACACACACAATTCTTCGAGATCAAAAATATTTCTCGAGTTTGAAATTGGCAAAGGCAAGTGTTAGTACAATTTCTGGTACTACTAAACTAGTTGATGGCTCCGGAAGAGCTAATATTGTTTTGCCTGGTGGAACGAACATTTTGGTCAAAGAGGCTTTGTACTCTAATAAATCCAAAAAGAACTTATTAAGTTTCAAGGACATACGTCTCAATGGATTTCATATCGAGACTATGAATGAGGGGAATATGGAATTTCTTTGTATTACAACCAATATTTCATGCCAGAAGCACGTTAAAGAGAAACTCCCAGTTTTCTCATTAAGGTTGTATTATGCGACTATAAGCGCAATAGAAACAAATATTGTGATGGACCAGAAGTCCAATGATCCGAAACTTTTCTCTCTTTGGCACGATTGACTTGGTCACCCAGGATCGACCATGATGCGTCGAATAATAAATAATTCATATGGGCATACTTTAAAGAACCAGAAGATTCTTTTGCCCCATGAATGTGTGTGCATTGCATGCTCACAAGGGAAATTAATTATAAGACCATCTCCAATGAAAATTAGTAGTGAGGCCCCAACATTTTTACAAAGAATTCAAGGGGATATTTGTGGACCTTTAGATCCACCTTGTGGACCATTTCACTATTTTATGGTTCTATTGGATGCATCATCTAGATGGTCACATGTAAGTCTATTGTCAACACGTATTGTTGCTTTTGCTAGACTTCTTGCTCAAATCATAAGATTACGAGCTCAATTTCCCGATTATCCTATCAAGACTATTCGTCTTGATAATGCCGGTGAATTTTCATCTCAAGCATTTAATGATTATTGCATGTCAATTGGTATTGATATTGAACATTCAGTTGCCCATGTACATACTCAAAATGGACTTGCAGAGTCATTTATTAAGAGATTGCAACTGATTGCTAGACCTTTGCTTTTACGGTCTAATTTACCCACTTCTATTTGGGGACATGCAATATTACATGCTGCTTCATTGGTGAGGATTAGACCAAGTTCATTTCAGAAGTATTCACCGTTTCAACTTGTTTCTGGCCAGCAGCCAGACATTTCTCACTTAAAAATATTTGATTGTGCTGTTTATGTTCCGATTTCTCCACCTCAGAGAACAAAAATGGGTCCACAAAGACGACTTGGAATTTATGTTGGTTTTGATTCCCCGTCTATAATTAGATACATTGAACCCCTGATGGGTGATTTGTTTAAGGCAAGATTTGTTGATTGTCATTTTGATGAGACAATTTTCCCGCCGTTAGGGGGAGAAAGATCCTCGGTTCAAATTGAACGGCGTGAAATTACATGGAATGTACCGTCTTTGTCTCATCTTGACCCACGCACAAACCAATGTGAGAAAGAAGTAAAAAAGGATAATCTATTTGCAAAATATTGCAAATCAATTGCCGGATGCTTTTACCGATATAAAAACGGTAACAAAATCTCATACACCCGCTATAAACACCCCGGCACGGGTTGATGTCCCTGAAGGACAACATGAAAAGATAATGAAACCTCGCATGAAGCGTGGGCGCCCTATTAGCGCAGAAGATAAGAACCCTAGAAGGAAAAGGGTAATAGAAGTAAATTCTCCTGAAGAGAATATTATCTGTGAACAAGAAAGCGCTATGAAAAATGTGACTGATCAGTCTAAAGTACATGATGCCCCTGGAGAGGATCATGAGAAAGAACTTATATCCGAAGAGATATCTTTAAACTATTTGAATACCAGAAAAAAACAAGGATAGAAATAAAGTTGTTATTGATAATATTTTTGCCTATGGGGTTGCAATTGATATTGCAAATGAGGACCCCGAACCAAAATCTGTCGAAGAATGTCTACATAGAAATGATTGGCCAAAATGGGAAAATGCTATTCAAGTTGAATTAAATTCCCTTGAAAATCGTAAAGTATTTGGACCAACAGTCCTAACACCGGATGGCGTAAAACCCGTTGGATACAAATGGGTATTCGTACGAAAACGAAATGAGAAAAATGAAATCGTGAGATATAAAGCACGATTAGTTTCACAAGGTTTCTCAGAGAGACCCGGAATTGATTATGATGAAACATATTCCCCCGTGATCGATGCAATCACGTTGAGATATTTGATCAGTTTAGCAGTCACAGAGAGGCTTGACATGCGCCTTATGGATGTTGTTACTGCATATCTATATGGATCATTAGATAGTGATCTTTATATGAAAATCCCTGAAGGATTTAAAATGCCTGAAGCATTTAAACGAAGGTCTCGTGAGCTATACTCAATTAAGTTGCAACGATCCTTGTACGGTTTAAAATAATCTGGAAGAATGTGGTATAACCGTCTAAGTGAATACCTTGTTAAAGAAGGGTATATGAATAATCCAGTTTGTCCTTGTGTTTTCATCAAAAGATCTAATAGTGGATTTTCTATTATTGCGGTTTACGTGGATGATCTAAATCTTGTGGGAACTCCTGAAGAGCTCACAAAGACCGCAAACTATTTGATGAAAGAATTTGAGATGAAAAATCTCGGAAGGACAAAATTTTGTCTCGGCCTGCAGATCGAGCATTTGTCCAATGGAATCTTCATCCATCAATCAACATATACAGAAAAGATTCTAAAATGATTTTACATGGATAAATCTCATCCTTTAAGTAGTCCAATGGTTGTTCGATCGTTGGATATAAAGAAAGATCCATTCCGCCCTCGAGAAGAGAATGAAGAATTACTTGGTCCAGAAGTACCTTATCTTAGTGCCATTGGAGCACTAATGTATCTTGCAAATAACACTAGACCTGATATTGCTTTCTCGGTCAACTTATTAGCAAGATATAGCTCTGCGCCTACTAAAAGACATTGGAATGGCATTAAACATGTATTACGCTATCTTCGTGGAACAACTGATATGGGTTTGTTTTACTCAAACAATTCAGAACCCCAAATAGTGGGCTATGCAGATGCCGGCTACCTTTTTGATCTACATAAAGGCAGATTTCAGAGTGGTTACGTTTTTATTTGTGGCGGTGCTGCAATTTCATGGCGTTCAGTGAAACAAACATTGGCAGCTACTTCTTCAAATCACTCAGAAATTCTGGCATTGCATGAAACCAGTCGCGGGTGTATATGGTTGAGATCAATGATCCAACATATTCGAGAAAATTGTGGGCTGACTTCAATACGAGATACACCCACAATACTTTACGAGGATAATGCCGCTTGTATTGCACAAATCAGAAACGGCTACATTAAAGGTGATAGAACAAAACATATATCATCCAAGTTTTTCTACACTCACGAGCTACAAAAAAATGGTGATATTGACGTTCATCAGATACAGTCATGCAACAACTTGGCAGATTTATTCACTAAAGCACTGCCAACTACAACGTTCAGGAAGATGGTCCATAGTATTGGAATGCGTCGACTCAAAGATCTCTTGCCGACATCAGGGGGAGCGTGATCATTAACTCTCACACACTGCAGTCTTTTTCCTTCGTCCAAGTTTTTATCCCCTGGGTTTTTCTTGGCAAGGTTTTAACGAGGCAGTGTCTCACGATCGCAAGCTTCACATGGATGTGCACTCTTTTTCCTTTGTCCAGATTTTTCCCATTGGGTTTTACTGGCAAAGTTTTTAACGAGGCATATTCCATTAAGATTGACATCCAAGGGGGAGTGTTATGAATGCATTCAATATGCATTTAGTGTGGATGTAAAAAACGTAAGAGTTTAAGTGGCTTCATTAATACTTCATGTATTCAATATGCTACTTGAGAACTATAAATAGATGTGATTGTAATGGATCTAAAACAGACTTGAATATATAAGAAAGAATAAAAAGAAAAGGTTCCATTATCCTTACATTTGATCTCCCATATTCTTGTTTTACTTGTGTTTCTTTAGTATATTTATAACATTTTTTTTTTAAGATTTTGTAATTTTTATTTGGTTTTAAATTTTATTAAGGATAAATTAGTAATTTTATGTTGGAGATCTTGAACTAATAAAAAAATAGGCTTGCATATATCCGCCGCCAAAATTAATTCTTGAGAATCTCTAAAGCTTGCAAAAGTGTGTCCCTAAACCTACCACAATCAAGACTAACATCTTGATTATCCAAATACACAGACCGAAAACGAAGAAACCCCTTCTTTTGAAGTCCACCAGGATCTCTATAAACAACACTATCATCAGCATATTTCCCTAACAAAGAACTTTCATTCAAACTCACTTTGTACTCTAAGTACCTCAACTTCATTTCTTTCGAAGGAATCCGAAAGTAAGGCTCCGCCAAATTCTCCAAACCAAACGGTACAATTTCGACGACAACTGCGTTATCTGGAAGAAACACCATGTTAGTCAACCCGGCCCCATGCACTCCCATTATTACATCGAACGAATTCACGAATTTTGCGACGAGTGAAATATTCTGCTCGATTTCTCTCACTACAACCTCAAACCCTAACCCTCGAGCCATATTCCCTACTTCGCCTTCGTTTTTCAAGAATCGGGTGTTGTTTCTAGAAACGATTAGCATCCGAGGCCGCTGTTTTGAGGAATAATAGTCGTCGATGGTTTCTCTCTCTAATGAGTACGTGTTGCGAAGGAAATTTCTGAAGTCGTTGATCGAATGGTACGGAAATTCCGAAGGATTAATTCCGAATTCTTTGTGGGATTTTAGGCCGAATAGCAATTTCGGGAAGCACATAACTTGGCTTTTCTTGTCTATGTTTACGACCTCGTATTTGGACAGTTTGTTTAGTATCTCTTTGTATTTGAAAATCCAAGAATAGCGCTTGTCGGTTATGAGAAAGAGCACTGTTCTATTGAAGGGTTGAGAAGTCAAGTAGAGTGGAATTAGCAAATCGGTGAAGTCGTGGAATTGGTTCCCGGCGTATCCTCCGGTGGAGAAAACTACTGCCGGGATGCTGAAATTCCGGTGGCAAATGGGGAATATTCCGGCGGCGTGATGCTTAATGCTCCATTTTTTAATATACTGCATAACGAAAACATCTGCTTTTCGGGCATAGGGTTGTAACGTCCAATTAGAGTGTGAGTCTTCTTGTAACAAGTTTGAGGCTACGAAAATAGTGGATGAGCTTCCGTGGATTCTTATGTCGCCGTTCAATTCGAGTACTTCTGATCTTGAATTGCTCAAGTTGTATATTGGCTTCACTGTAATGTTTGTAAAAGAAAGAAAAAAGTTTAGGGTTACACATGAAATTTATTGTTGTGCCGATCGAATCCGTTCGAAATAAGCAATGAATTTATTATTATAGATTTAAATCTTTTTCAACTCAGAATTCTTCCATCCAAATTAAATTAAATATTGGGAAATCATATTACGAATATATATTCATCATGCTGATAGTAGAACTGGTAAAATTAAACTAAAATAATGATACATACATACAAGTGCAATATATATATAAACTTACATGTCCTTGATGGTTCCTCAATTTTATCAGAGCCTATCAACATTTTGAGTCCGAAAGCCACAGAAACTTCCAAATTTACTGTACAAACAAAGTATCATCACCGCGTACGTAAATCCAATTTTTGTATACATAATATATATTTTTTTTCAAGAATGATTTCGTTATACAGAGATCAGATTTCAAGAATGATTTTTGTAAGTATAGTTCAAGATCAAATGCAACGGATCATGAAAATCAAAATAAATGGCAATTTGCTTAATAAAAAACATTTATAGACTACGTACGAACAGGTTGCCTGAGAATGGTGCAAAAGCTGAAGGTTGTGATGAAGCAAATAGTTAACGCTACACATCCAAGTTTCTTCAGCTCGTATTCACTAAAACTTCTCGAAAAAATGGACTCATCAGAAGCCATAACTTATATAATTAATCGCATCAAATCTCTCGTTGGAACTATATATGATGTCTTCGAGATGTTAACGAATCATGTGCGAAGGAATATTAATTAATGTGTGATTACTAACTTATATGGTATTTCTTGATTATGTTCTTATATATTACTCCTAATTAACTCATACCATTTTCTGCAAAATCATTATCTCATGATGGCCATATATAATAAAACACATCAAATTACGTAGCTCTTGCTACACATGTTTTTTTATGCAATAACTAATTTAATTGGTGATGAGTTATCCGACAATACTTTCTGAATATTTCCATCGATCACATGGTAAATACTTCAACTTTTTTTTCATTTTTTTTTATCGTAATACTTTCTATATTCTTCCGAATTAGATCAAACCACGACAATGACTTGTGAACTGTATAAACACCCCTCACTATTCTAGAAGTTAGTAAGGGTTTTTTTCTTTTTAATTTGTCTTACATGTATCATTATATATATTGAGTTTTGACCATCATAGAAATTGAATTTCAGAAATTAGAAAACAGGAAATGTTTCATGAGCTTTTCAGTACAACTTGAATCGCTACAATTGATGTTTCTATGAGAAAATTAGGATAAAAATAAGTCTTGTTAAATTGGTTATTTTATGTTAATTAATTATGATTATGATAATTCATTTGAATCTCACAATTTTAAAATTTGAGGATAAAATGAGAATGTTGTTTTTCTAAAATATCTTACTTTTAAGTAAAATTGAAATTATATATATTTTTTGTTTGGAATCGTAGGTATTTATTTATGGTGTTCAAAACATGATTCTTTCCCTATTGGAGGCGATTTTCTCCCCTGTGAGAGGCCTTGTTCGTCGTTCTTCGATCGTGATCTTTACTATTATTGATTTGGTGGCTATTGTTATTTCTAATAAGGAATTTTATTATTCATGTTTCTCGCTTTTCCTTTTTTTCGCGTAACCCCTTGTTTTCTTTTCCCACTCATTCAATCTTGTCAGATCCCATCCGGACATGGCAGCGTTGGTATTCGCAGATCGATATTTCCTTACCTCATCTATCTCATTAGCGTCTCAGGTGGAAAAAGGCTTATCCCTCACGACTGAAAAGGAGGAAAGGTTCACCATTAATATACCCCAAGAGATTCCGATAAGGGTTTTAGAACGTAAATCTTGTAAATCTTTTGTGAGCTTTCTAGTGCAACTTGAATCGCTAGAATTGATGTTTATATGAGAAAATTATCTTGAAAATAAATCATGTTATATTGTGTATTTTATGTTGATTATTTATGATAATAGTTTCATTTGAATCTCATACCACTACAAAAAAATGTACTTTTTGTGACAATTTATTGTGACGAAAGTAAAATTCGTCACATCAATAACAAGTTTATATGACGAAATCAGATGTCGTCTCATAAAGTAATGTTTTATGAGACAAAATTGTTTTCGTCACATTAAGTTCGTCTTATGTGACAACATTATAAATTCGTCTTGAAAAGAAATGTGTGACTCATTCCAACGATTGGTGCGCCCGTTTTAGCGATAACATTTAGCTGTTTTATGACAAAGTAATTTCGTCACATTCATTTTTATTGTGACAAAATTACTTTTGTCACAAAAGCAAATAATTTATAATTAAATATAAATTTATCCGTCTGTTGTTATTTTTCTCTCGCCATTTTCCTTCCACTCCCTCTCTCGTTTCGCTTGTCGCCTCCGCCATCTCCGCCAGCGTTTCGCCTGTCGCCTCCGCCACCACCGCCAGCCTTCCGCCGCCTCCGTCACCACTAGCCTCTCAATCGATTCAAGTAAGGTAATTTTGTTGTTCTCAATCTCTAACTCTAGCCTCTCTACCTCTGCTCATTTGTCATTTTTTTTCTCTCCCAATCTGCAATCGAATGTTAGGATTTTGGTTAGAAGTGCATAAACTGGAGTTTTTGAGCCTCTACATCTACACCGCTATCATTTTTCTTCTCTCTAATTCTGAAATCTAATGTTAAGGTTTTGGCTAAAAGTTCGTAAACTAGGTTTTTTTCCTCAAAATTAAATTAAGGATATCTAATTAAATTTTCAAAATTCATTGAAGAATTCTTCGGTGTTTGAATCTAAATTAGGTTTTCTGATTCAGAATTATGGAGTTTTCTGGTATGGTGCTTCAATGGAAGTGTAATAATGAAGCCCTAAAGGAAGAAATGAAGAGTGAAACGAGCATAGATAAAAATTGAAGTGCATAGATGGAATCCCCCTGCTCTTGTTTACTATTAATTAATTCTCTTTCGCCCAAATACTTTTGTATTCTTCTTTGTTGGTTCATCTGCTTCGCTGGTGTCCGTTGGAATCGGCATTGGCTTTACTGACTATCTCTAAGTTATTGTATGAATATACTTATGGTTTATTTATATGAATTTTTGGTTTGTTTGATTGACTAATTAAGATGAACCAAGGATTAAAAAGCGCAAAAGCAAGGAAGATGACAAAAAACACAAATCTCACAAAAATTTCCAAGCGCCATTGAGAAAGGTATTTTCCAATACCTGAATTCCATTTAAATTGGGTTAATATGATATTTGTTAAAACCTTGGCATACAAAAAATACCTCTTCAGCTAAATAATGGTGAATTAACCAACGGTACGAAGATAAAGAAGAAAGAACAGAGGGTGAAGGCTAAAGAAGAAAGAACAGAGGGGGTAGGTGAAATGTTAACCGTTAATACACGCGCCTATTTCTCTTATTCAAATTCCAAGGTAATGATTTTTCATTTGCAATCTGTTGAATTTCGATTTGGTTTTCTTCTTTGTTGTAGATAATTTGATAAAGATTGGGCAATTTCTATCCCTAATTTATAGCTTCAGATTGATGGGTTTATCTGTAATTTTCATTTACAAGCTTCAAGTATGTACATTTAGGGATGACAATGGGTACGGGTTTGGCGGGTCTTGGACCTGGAACCGACCTGTTTAGGGCGGGTCTGGGTCAGCTAAATGGTTCTGAGTCGGGTAATGGGTTTAAGTATATATATATATATATATATATATATATATATATATATATATATATATATATATATATATATATATATATATATATATATATATATATATATAATTTCGGATTTCATTTATCAAACTATCAATTTTCATCTTGTCTATTCTTGTTTACCTATTTTCACTATTTTATTTTTTGAATCTCATTTCTCGTGAGTAATATTTATCACTTGTCGACCACCGCTTATTGTCTTGCATTTTGAATTTTACTTATTATCGAAGTTAAATATAATTAATTGTAATTTTATTGTTCATGTTATATCACTTGTAGAGATTTTTTAAAATATTGTATTTTAGTATTGAGATTATTTCGTAAAAATATACAACCAAAATGTTATGAAAGTCAAAAAATATTAAACTTTTTGTATATTAACGGGTCTAGCAGGTCTGGCCGGTCAGAACCGTTTAGTTAGGATTTGGGTTGGGGCGGGTTTTGGGTCTAAGATAAAACGAATTGGGGCGGGTCTTGGATTTATATATTTTTCATGGGTCCGGTCTTGAGTTTAGACAAACCCGGTCCAGAACCGACCCGTTGCCATCACTACGTACATTTGACCATGAATCAGCCCAACTAGGATAAGATGATCAGCATGTTATTGTAAAAAATATATTACTTTTTTTTTTGTCTTTAAAATAATTTTACAGTCTTGTATTTTATTGACTAACTATTCAATAAAATTGTTGACCATATTCAAAGTCAAATATAAGAAACTAAAAGAACACAAACTTGAAGGTTAATCCAAATGCGTTATAGGTCATTGACAATCTATTCCTTGATAATAAGTAGAGCCCGTTCTGTGTGGAGGTGAAGAAGACGGGGTCACCTAAGGTTCACACATATTATTGCAAAATTTACGATCCTAAATATTTTTATATACACTTTTATATAAAACGATATATATATATATATATATATATATATATATATATATATATATATATATATATATATATATATATATATATATATATATATATATATATATATATATATATATATATATATATATATATATATATATATATATATATATATATATATATATATATATATATATATATATATATATATATATAGAGGGCCCGACATTTTCGGGGCCCT